TTTGCCAGCGCTTTCACCTATCCGCCGCTATCAAACGTTTAGAATTTCACCCATGTGTACCAACGAGATCCGGTTAGAGCGGATTATCTCCTCAATGGGTCACTCCAAATGAAGCGGCTGCGAGGATAATTTATGCGAGCTTCTATATACTTCACTATATCTGTAAAGAAATATCAAAGGCGAAGTTCATGCCGACAAGGCAGCTCATTAAAAACCCGCAAAGGTGATAAGTGGGACACGGGGAAATCAACATGAGAAATTACCCAGAACCGAACAAATGGGATCCCTTCTTGCCCTCTTGATTACCGCATTGATGCGACTCTCATCGATGCTGCCCTCTTCAACGCTAACGCTCTCTCCGAAGAGCTGGAATCAGACGACGATGGGTGGGCGTGCGGCGGTTGGAGGTGTGGGTATAACCCGATTATGCCACTGAAGGCATACTTTTGGCTGCAAAACGCGCATAGTCCTGTACCCTTTAAAGGCTCGCCTTCCTTTCTACTACGATGATTCCCCTTTTTCGACCTCCGTCCTTATCGTGAAATCCTCCTTTGAGATGGATTACATAAAGACAGGTGGTCATTGCGAGCGTTGGAGTTGACCTACCTCACCGCTTCCATGAAACAATTGCTTTCCTGAACTTTTTGGCATCGCTCACCTTACCAGTATAGCTCTTGTAATTATTTATTTATTCATAATTTTTTATTACTTATTAATACTTATTATCGGTAATCAAAAGCTATACATTATTTTTCAGGAGAATTGGACGATCACCCGCATCGACGTCGACATTAACTCGTTACAGCATCAGAGGCGAGCGTCAGCCTCTTGCCGGGAACAAGAAGTAGAGATAACTGCTGAGAGAATTTTCTCAAGGAAAAGATGCCAAGAAATACGGGCGTCCCAAAATTCGTGCATGACGTCCTTTTTTGGTGTGGACAAGTGCAAGGACGGCAATAGCCTGCTGCAGATTCGCTCTTCTAGCAGTTCAGTGCGTGACTTCTGGGGCGAGATGTGAAGCAAGAGGCCATCGCGCGACATCGTGTGCGCCGATGTTGGCTCAAGTGGCTCCCTTCACTCCTTTCCGCCCGCATTCATCCAAACTGCTGACGTCTCCTTGTGTCTGCGTCTCCGCAGTTTTCAGAGACGCTTCGAATCATTCGCCGCGCCTGCGGCTCAGCGCAGTCTGCGCGACGTCGCGAGGTGACCTTGCTGTGCATTGTTTAAAGAAAGCATTGCCACTTTAAATTATGAATGGAACGAAATCAACTGATGCCAATTGTAAGCCATCACAGAAGCTCAAACGAATGACCCTAACAAAATGTAGTCTTCTTACTCAATTTTTGCCTCCTACTAATTTTAACCGTTAGTCTCTATAAGCGTTATTGATCTAGTAGATCGAAAAGGCCCGGATATCATTGAATACTGTAATTTACCATGACCATTGTGGTCAATCCCAACAATACCACTTGATCTGCAGGTTATTTACTACATGCTCTTT